CTACTTCCACATAACTCACCTCAACTTTTTTCTACCTTTCCACCTTCATCTTTGAAACAATCTTTTGTCCCCCCCCCTCTTGAATTTGTTTACACTTTGGGCTCTTCTGTTCCCCACTCCTCGACTTTCTTCTACTTCGACTTCCTTCCCCTCTGTGAAGCCTGAAGTCAACTAAAGGACTGATGATAACCATCAAAACGCCTGTCATTTGATATAATAATAACTTTTCCCTGTCCATGCGGTGCCTTAATATTATCAATGACTGACAACGTGAAGAGACCTGAAATACAAAGTACTTCATTTTTAAATACTATCTTATAGTTTTTTGCGTGCCTCAACGCGCTTAAGTCAATTTAAGCGGATTTAACTCTTCAACATTAACTAATAATTGTTATTATAGCCGAGTTAGACTTACAAATTTCGCACAAACTCCAAAATAAATTTTGATCAAATGGACGGCTTTTAAGAACATTTTAATATATTTTATAATAACACAAATTCGTAATGCTCTCGAAAAGCAGAGAGAGAGAGAGAGGGTAAGGAAAGGAATTTCTCAAATCTTGTTGGCCTTTGCTTTCGACTTTTTTCCATTTGACACTCCTCCTGATTCGTTTTGAGCGGAGAATTCTTCCGGACACAGACTTCCATAGAGAGACAATAGGCTCATAGCTTTGCTTTTCTATAAATAGCCATGCCAAGTGATTATTTTAATATTGAAACTTACAGCTCCACAGCTAACCACCTCCGTGCCAATACATCTGAACTGATGACAAAGTTGTTGGCAAATCGTCTTTGGAGTCACATTGTTGAGATTCTCTAAACTTCTGCCCTCTAAACCGACTCCGACAATCACTAAATTCTTTAGCTTGAAGTATTTGGAGAAAATCTAGACAGAACATCGGGTATAATTAAACGGGCTTACTTCATTGCGGAGGTATTCAACCGTCTTGTAATTGCAAACATCATAGACGCAAATAATCATATCGCTTTCGTCACTGGGATAAAGTGGAGCCGTTGCCATGATGTTGACACTGTAGTCCATAGTTTGACAATTGAGAATGTCTCCCTAAAAATTGCCTTAAACAAAAAACCGAAGTCTCACATCACAGAGGAATAAGTCAACCGCTTCTGGGCTGCCGAGAACTTGGATATTAATATTCTTTTCTGCTCTCTTTGGCTTTCTAAGCCCACTTTCAGTCGATCCTTTGCCTTTAGAAACCTTTTTTTCTTTAACTGACTGCGACATAATGCGACGCTGTATTCAACGCTAACGGGAGAGCACTGTTATTATATAGATTTGTGAATTAAATCTTTAAGTATCTTCCACAGGATATGTTTATGAACCACACGATAGTTATCAATTCACTATCGTAAACAAAACTAATGGAGGATATAGTAAATGTAATTATTATTGACTTTTATTATGAATAAATGCGCAAAACCGAATTTGTTTTTCTTTCATTTGCTCAATTTTGATAAAAATTATTAAGCGCCCTTTGCGATCTCCACCACATACTTTTACTATTTATCTTACCACGAAACTGCACGCGAGTCGTACAATCGCACTCGAGTATGCTGATCTCGATTGACTACCCGTCTGCAATTCATGATGGTCCGTGAAAGTTGAGCGAAAATTCGAACGGAAGCAGGGAGGCTTGAAGCTGTTAAATCTCCACGATGATTGCATGAAATGATACTAATCTTGACCTTCCTTGGGATCACTGCTCCTCTGGTACAATGGTTAAAAGTCTTAGAAAAAACAAAGTTGGTTGAGAAGTCAAGCTTCCAAAGGCTTCTTTAACTTTGAAATTAGATGCTCTGAGAGTCTCTTCGAAAGACCTTAAAAATAAATGGTAAGTCTTTTTCACTCTTCTCGCTTTCCACCAACTATTTCATCACCGCCATAGCCAGGCATCCGCCTGCTCGAACAGAATTATTTGTGCCACCTTATCAGAATAAATGCATAGCGGCATACAGGGTCGCCATATTCAAACTGGACCAATTAACCATCTCTAATCTGGTCACAATTCTAACTAAGCATCAGTAGTACAGTGCTAATCACCTCGCTACTTGTTTATAATCAAGTTGTTTTTGCTAAGAAGAGTGTTAATTTCCACTTTTCATAGAGCTACTTATGTCAAGCAGGTGAATATAACTCAAAAGAATGGCAGTTCACGGCTGATCGAGGACAGTAGTCACCTTTTTGCTGGACCATCAAGGGGATTAGTAATGAAAGAGAGAGTCAAGGAAAGTTCAGAGACAACCTGTCAATTCAAAGTCAAATTGCAGTATATTCTGAAAAGTTGCAAATGTTATATCGAATTAAGTAAAAGAAATTATTGGACGATTTATTCAGGAATCAGAATTTTTTAATAACACAGCCTCTATCTGAAAAATTTTTAGTCATAATTGCAAAAAACAGATTATTCATTTTGATAAACTCCACATCTGATACTAGTGACTTTGTATGCTGCAGTTGAATATTGTTTGTTTGTTACTGAAATCCCAATCTGTTTCTTTGATGTGACCTGTGTCCTAAAAGTGGGTGAACCTCGGCTTAGTCTTTCAATTCACTTTCCGTCTCACATTGCTAGGCTTTTGTATTTGCTGATTAGCTGTAGGTGGATACTGCGATTTAGACAAAACAGAGTAATTTCAATACATTCAACAAAGAACGCAATTGGATGTAGCTTTCGAATGAAGCTCATTTTTATGGTATTTAGCAAATATATCCTACTGAGCTGTTACCTTCTTCATAGTTCACCATATCCTCCTCAGCAATCAATTGTTTAACCCCTTAAGACGAAAAACGTCTTCTCTAGAAGACAAGACGTTTTAGTCATCTCGAAAAAAATTGGTCACATTAATTTTATGAATACAATTTATTTATTTATTTCAAATGGCAGGCTTTATGATATTTATCATTAGCCCTTAATCTTTGACTTCAGCTTCCCCCAAGAGGGGGGGGGTATATTTATAGCAGTTAATCAATAGCAGTTCATTAGCAGTCTTCTTGCTTCCCAGTATCTTTGGCTTTCCGTCCTTGTCTTTAGAGCTGGACACCGAATCAGGTGGGTCTTCTCCATTTCCTCATGTAGGTTACATAGAGGGCATGTGGGTTGAGTGTATACTCCCAATCTGTGAAGGTGTTTTGCCAAGCAATCGTGTCCGTTACGTAGTCTAAACTCAGC